ATATATGTATGTATGTATATTTCAACAGTTGATTCTGTTGAAATATACCTCGCACATACCATTATATTCCGCTTTTTTCTTTTTGCCACACAAGTAAATCCTTGAAATTCTGCACTATTACCAAAATTGTAGCATAGAGCCTAGTAATCAGAAAATTATAGGCTTGCTCCATAGCAAAGCCCTATTTTGGTGCTATAAAGAACCATCTCAGAAAAGGTTTTCTATCTCTTCAGCATTATGGTGCTGTAAACAAGCCCGCGAGGTTACGTGAAATACTCCACATCAGCTGCATTAAAAAGGGGCTTTCTGATAACCACTCTGGCTTCTTTATTTTTAATTCATTCAGTATTTTATTTGCACAAATCAAAGGGAAGCACTAAAAGGAGAACCTTGGAGACGACTTTCTTTATACACCTAAACCTCTAAGATCTACTTTTCAGTCCTCGTGTTTTATTTTCTGCTGCGCGTTCTGCAGGCCATGCCATAGCATTGAGACCCCACTTTATATACCCGCCTCCTGCGTGGAAAGGAAAGAGTGAAGATGTGACGGGGCGTATTTGAAGTATGACGAGCTTTGTGGTCCACTTCTTTTCACTCCCTTGCCTCAAATATACGCCCGCTTTCAAATAAGCCTCTTTGGCAACCCCATGCCGACCCCCTCCCAGCACACACACCCCCTGCCACCTTAACATGAATGGGCGACTGACCTTTAGGGCCGTGTCCACTCTGCGGTCCAGTTTTATCCAAATAAGCCTTCTCCCCCCACCCTGCCTCATATGGTGCCAGCAATTCTTTACTGATATCATCAGCGGATGCAAATGAATTTGGACGGGGCGGGGGGCGCGGGAGTGGAGGGGGGGTAGTGTTGGTGATGTAGTCATGGACAAAATACCACACTGACTGCAGAATGCTGCATGTGGAGAGATGGGAATATTGAATACCCGGCCACCAGAACCATCCCAATTCAATATTGCAGGAAAAAAAACACATTCCTATTCCAGAAATCTTGGCTGTAAAATACCACCAAGAAAATCGCCATTCAAATGAGATGCGTTTATTTCTGCATGGCCTTTGAAGAGAAGAGAGGGGTCGTGTCACTCAAACGAAGGAAAGGGCCACTGCGTTATAACCACCCCGCCACCCCCTCTTCTTCTTTTCCTTTTTTTTTTTTTAACTCTCCTCTCTCCTCTCGCTCAGACCGACCCCCACTTGTCCCACACATGCGCGCGCACAGACACACACGTACACATAGCAAGCTGGCTTTGGGGGCGACATAGAGGCTAGATTAGAGCTTTGCTTCTTTAACAAGGGAGAGGGGGCACTTCTATAATCACAGCGGCGGTATGTGGGGCCACAAAGAGTTTGCAACCACAGGGCGACTGGTCTTCAGTAGAGTGGTCCAAGCCGTGGGCAAGCCAGGAAAAAAAAAAAAACGCTCTATCCAGCGTATTACTAGGATCAAAACGCAGTGGTTATAGTGCGTGAAGAGGTTATTAACCCTCAGAGCACAGCAGAAGACCACTTCTAAATCTCCAAAACAGCATAACCCTAGCATAACCTGATTTAAGACAATTCACCACGTTAACATGACCAGAACGAAGTGCGAAGTAATTATTTAGTTTGTGTAGAGACAGAAAGGCATCCCTTGTTGACGATTTGGAGTGTGTTTCTGCACGCCTGCTGGCATCCCCGCTCTCCCCTAAGCGCAGCAGTGTAACGTGGACATACAAATTTGATGGATGGTGCTGAGTAAGATGGAAAAAAAGGCATGTATTTATCAACAAGCCTCTGAGGTGGCCGGGAGAGAGAGAGAAAGAGATCCAACCACAGAGACTTAAGGAAGTCAATGGGAAACCTTACCACTGTCAGGAGCGGTTCCCAGTGGCATACATGAAAAATACCCTTCAATGCTTCGTTTCAGTTAATCATAATAGACCTACAGCAGCCTCTCTGAGCAATCCAGGTGAACACCGACAGCAACAATATGAGCTGGTGCAAGTTTGACAGTTAAACAGTCTATAACGGATAGATAGATAGATAGATAGATAGATAGATAGATAGATAGATAGATAGATAGATAGATAGATAGATAGATAGATAGATAGATAGATAGATAGA